TTTAAGGTAGACTTCTCATTTCAGAATTATGTCTCTCTTGAAAGAGCTGCACTAGACGTAGCTTTTAGGATGTAACTAGACAACCGGTGGTCCATTGGGTCATTGTTTCAGATATATTTCCTCAGTGCCTTTAACAATGGCAGAGCTTCTAATCTACTGCCATCACTGGAAAAGTTCTTACAAAGTCAGGGAGATATTCAGAGATACATCTGCCTCGAAAATATCCCAACATTAACTGTCCGGCACAGTTGAACATCAGGCTTTTGTTTTGATCACATGAAATGTATTTGACATTTTGTACTATATCATAAAATGCTTTATGGCAATGTTAATGTCATAAAATATGTTATGATCATTTTACTGCCATAAAATGTTTTATGATAATTTTAGGTCATAATAATGTTTTATGATAATTTTTACGACATAAAACATTTTGTAAAATTTGTCATATTTCAATTCAGATGTCACGGGTTCTGGATTTTGGACATCTTCTATAAATTAGCCCATTTGAGGTACCTTGGTTCAAAAATTATTGTCCTACAATGCTCCATTTTGTCCAGCTCAAGGTTATACACAAACAACATTTTAGTAGTATATAGATTTATAATCAGTGGTGGGATTCAGCCAGTTTGCACCACTTTGGGAGCAGTTTGGTGAACAGATTGTTGGAAGAAATCATTAGGGCAGAGAACCGGTTGTTAAATTATTGGAATCCTACCACTGTTTATAATGCTGATGATCATTTACAAAGCAAATATATGACTTGACGCTGAGTTATATCAGGAACTTTCTTCCAAGAAGATGTCTGACCAAACTGAACATCAAAGGAACACCTGCTAAGGATTTTGCACTACATGAAATAAAGGGGGTTTGGGCCAGAAGGTAAGCTTTTGTAGAAGTAATCCCCCTCATCACAATTACAGAATTCATCATCCTAGGAGGTGCAAATGGCCACCACCCTTGTCTCATTCACGATGGTCTTTAAATCCATTCTCTTTTAACATGCCTTAAGACTTAGAATGATTGTATGCATTGCTGGTAATTACTATTATTATGATTATTATTTATAGGGTTGATTTCACTGTTGTTTTAGTTTGTTCTAAACTACATATGTCTGGGCCCAGAAGAGGAGCTGCCCAGGGAGCATGCACATGCCAGAAAATAAACTTCTGGTTCCCGGTGTGCAAATGCACACTGGCCAGCAAGTCTTCCAGTTACTGGTGTGCATGCACACACAACAATCAGCTCTTCCAGTTTCCGGCACTGCCCCATGCACGAAGGCCAGCTGATCAGTGCATGCACCCAGAAGAGGAATGGGCGACGCCGCATGTGCCAGGCAACACGACTCTGCGTGCCACTTCGGGCACGCGTGCCATAGGTTCGCCATCATGGATCTATACCAAAATCAAGATTGATCAAACTGGGATGGTTTAAAAATGACATAAAGTAAATAAAGTAATGAAGAAGCCATTGTTTCTTTCTTGTTTGGATTGGTCATACTGCACTTAGAATATTCCGTCCAGTTTTGGGTTCTGAATTACGAAGCACACAAACAACTTGCAAGGCATTCAGAGGAGACACTAGTCAAGATGGCAAGGAAGATGGGAGAGCAAAAAAATCTGAGAAATGGTAGGAGACATTAGGTATCTTTAGGCTGGAGAAGAAAATGCTGATAATTGTCTTCAGGTATGTGAAGGAGGGCAAACATGTAGAAAATGAGGCAGACCTGTCTTCCAAAGACAGGGCAAGGAACAATAGTCTTACACTACAAGGAAGTAGATTTCAATTGGACAATAGAAACATGTCTTAGCAGTAAGAGTAGAGTGAACTGTGTCCGGTAGTGGTGGTTCCTGCTTTACTCAAGGTATTTAAACAGCTTCCCTTTCAACTCTTCTATTTTATGATCTTTAACTTGAATTTCAACCTGTCATCATGTGAATCCACCCATCCATTGCAATAATCCACTAAGGGGATATTGTGGATGGGGGGGGGGGAAAGGTTGTGCCACCCGCTGGATGTATTACCCATAGAAGACTATTTCCTCATGATGTCATGTTGGATGACTGGAGAAAGAATCCTCTGTATTTACTCAAGGATGTAAATAGAGGTTTCCATCCAAAAGGTGCTCTGGTGTCTATTCCTATGGGTAAACTCTATGAATGCATGTCTGTAGATTTTAGCTGCATTCAACATCCTAATGGAATCATTATTTTTTTTGGATTTGCATAATATAGCGGCCCATTCATTAATTAAATGAGTCTGAGTTCATAGAATATAATGAAGCAACAAAAAGTAAACCAATTTTAATGATAAACAGCGTACTTTCATTCTCGAGAAAACAGTATGACCTTTGTTCATCCTCAGGCACCCAAGCATAGAGATCGGCCCCAAGAGTGCAAATAGCATATGGCTTCTAATCTTGTATGGACTTGAGTTAGGTGGAAGGACTTCTATTGCTTGTTTCCATTTAGGTGCTAGCAGTGGTGGGATTCAATTTTTTTAACTACCAGTTCTGTGGGCTTGGTGGGCGTGGCTTGGTGGATGTGGCAGGGGAAGGATGCTGTAAAATCTCCATTCCCTCCACACTCCAGGGGAAAGTTCCTGCAAAATCCCCAGTTCCTCCTGATCAGCTGGGACTCGGGAGGCAGAGAATAGATGGGGGTGGGGCAAGTCAGAGGTAGTATTTACCGGTTCTCTGAACTACTCAAAGTTTCCACTACCGGTTCTCCGGAACTAGTCCGAACCTGCTAAATACCACCCTCTGGGCGCTACCAAATACCTAACCTACTCTAAGCAGATCATAACAGCAATAGCCTACCCTGTTTCCCTGAAAATAAGACCTCTCCAGATAATAAGTCCCAAAAATAGGCCCTTCCCCCAAAATAAGCCCTCCCTAAAAATATTGCAACAAAGCAGCAGCCATGAAGTGGCCATGCTCGCTGCCTCCTGCACTTCTAAACTAATAAGAACCCCACCCTCCAAAAAATAAGGACAAGCACTTATTTCGGGAGTCAAGAGAACATAAGACCCTGTCTTATTTTTGGGGAAACATGGTAATAATAAACAACAAATGAGATGAGATCCAGTTACTCAGTGAAGAAAACATATAAAAAAAGTATATTTCTATCTAGTTGTGAGTCTGCATGGAGGCTAACTTGACTGCTGATGTATTTCAATTCCCAATATCTTCTGAAAAGGGGGTGGGGGTGTTTGAAAAGCCTAAAAGAGCCACTAAAATACACTTCTCTCCCATCACCCCAGATAAAGGCAAAACATCAATTTTGAAGCCCAGTGGCCTATCACTGCATAATCAGGCCTGTTGGTGCTCCTTGAAAAGAAACTGGACTTGCTGGAATAGTCATATTGCCTGTTTTAACACTCCCTGTCCTCCCAATGCCACTGCTTTAGGCTTTAATTACAAAGCAGTGTTTTAATAGGGCAGCCCAAATAACCATTAGGTGGACAATCAGCAGTATAACACACACTCTCTTTCAAATTCCATATGGTAAGCTTGTTTTATATATTTTTTTAAAAAAAAATTGTTTACAGTATGTGTTTATAGCATGGCCAATGTTATTTTGTTGCAGAAAGTTTCTTTTGCAAGACTGTTTGATCTCACGGATAGAGAGAGATCAAAACACTTGTGGACATTATTCTCACTTCTTTTTCCCCCAAATAATTTTGGAGTGCCCATTTGTGTCTTTTTTCCAGGCTACCTTATCCCCTTCATTTTTGCCGTAAGTTAGAAAGCTAAATCTGCTGGAAGGAAGGGCCGAAGGCTTATACGTTCAGTCTACAGATAGGCAAGATCATTTGCCTCCCAGTTTTAAATCCTTTTAATTTCTTCTGAAACGTGCCATCAGAATGAGGACACTGCCCAAATATTCTGTTCTAGGCATCAACATATCTCAGCCCAACTTTGATGCCCCAGAATAGAGACTAAAAGGAAAGAAAAAAGGGCAGGTCTCTCTTACATTTGCCTTGGAAAAGGTATGGGAGCGGGAAGCCAAAAAGGGAGCGGGAAATCCTGCTCATATCAAGTGGTTTGGCTTGGTTCTCCACCCACAAGGTTCTCACAAGAGAGAATGTGTATTTTGAGGCCAAACCCTCTACCATCTACATAGCACAGCTTGCCCAACCCAGATCAAAAGAGAGGATCATTAGGTAGCAAGTACACCAGAATTTTTCAGAGTAGAACCCGCAATGGATCAACCTACAGGTTCATCTGATTTTTCCAGGAATACTGTGTTCATGACATTCAGGAACTAGATTCCAGGCTCAAATCCTTAGCAGTTGGAGTTTCCCACCACTACCACCCCTCTTTTCATTGGTGCATCATTCATTATACTTATGTCTGCATTCATTGATAATTTATGAAACCTTGATTCAATGGTTTATATTGCCGCTACCACCATTCTGTGTCAGGTTAAGGAAACTAAGGTGTACAGGGACTAGGCCTTCTTCTGTGAATTGGTGAGCCAACATTCCAGTCCAATATTATACCTGTAGATCACTACCTTCTAGAACAGGGCTGTCAAACCCATGGCGTCACAGCAGCGTCACGTGACATATCGGGAGTTTTTTCCACTTTACTAAACCGGGTGTGGCCAGGGCCAGCGTCCAACGCATCCAACCCTATGGGCTGGGAGTTTGACAGCCCTGATCTAGAATGTCATTTTTTTCTCTATCCTATCCTGAACCTAGGGCATTTTTTTTTCAGAACCAGAATAAAACCCTTTAATTTGCCAAAGGTGTACTTCTAAATGTAGCCCAAATGCAATATTGTTAGCATTAACCCTGGATATGACTTCTATTGTTTTCATTCTCATCACCGACGTGGCGGAGTGGTTAGAGTCAGTACTGCAGGCCACTTCAGCTGACTGCTATCTGCAGTTCNAAGTCATAAAAGCAATTCTGCAAAGAATTATATTTTCATCAACCATATTGCTTTATCAGTTTCAGCATAGAAGGCTTTAGGACAATCTATTTGGTTGGGGGAGTCAGGATACAATGCTTGAATCAACATGGAATGGACAGGTTAGATCAAGGACATAACCATTGTCACTCAAGCTGATGATGATCAAAGGTGAAATCTCACCTCTTGGTTCGGTTTGGGCTCGCAACCTGAGTTTTTGTGGGTGAGCTGCAAGACTGCTAGTCAGCTTGTCATATCTAATAAGTCCAGTCTGATGTGTTGAAATATCAGTATTGCTGATGTTCAAAGCTGCGTTTTCGAAGACTTCAATTGAAACTTTCTCATCTTTTGCTGTTGGAGTCGTGGGGAAGCAAGAAGGTCAAAAGTGTACTTTTCCAACTAACGTAATGGCAAGCAGAGCATTCCTTCCAATCCTTACATTTACTTGTGTGGTATCGGCATCAAATATAACCAAAATAGAATTAAATTAAAATTAACTCTTTATTAAAAAGAGAGGGGGGACACACAAATGATTAAAATAATTACAAACAGCACTCTGACAAGCAAGAACAAAAATTTGCCTAAAGCCATTTGTCTGTAATTATTTAATTAATCCTTACACAAATTATGAGCAATAACTCATCGAGCAAAGCTCAGCCATCAGAAAGTCAGACGACTTCGATTTCTTCTGCTTAGTTTGTTTCCGAGCCTTCTGTTGGAACTTCTGGAGGGAAATTGTTAAATGAATAAATGAGCTTAAGAATGTAGATCATCCTCTAAGAGCCACAACTAACACAGTATTTTAAATATGGGATGGCATTGAAATGTCACTTCATTTACATCTCCACTAAAGGGGTCAACTACTAACTGAACAACAGAAGTGGAAAAAAATAAATAAGAAAAAGAGAAGAAAAGTAAAACAAATACCAAATGAAGGTCACATTAAAATTCTTCACTTAAAAAAAAAATACTTTTGGTTATGTTTCCAAAAGAGTCTTCGCCCTTTTTTTGCATCTAAGCATTCGGTAGATGTTTTATGTATATTTATTTATTTATTTGTTAGACTTATATACCACTTCATAGGGCTTTCAGCCCTCTCTAAGTGGTTTACAAATTTTTTTAGCA